CCCAGACGGGCCTGTCTGTCATCTCTGTCTCAGGTGGGGGGAGTGGGATCCCATACCTGCTCCCTCAACAGACGCCCCCTCACCAGACGGCCCTTGGCCGCGGACAGTAAGCACCGCATGCTACTCCACCCCGTGACTTGTGACCAGGCAGCATCCTCTCACCTGCCTCAGGTCAGGGTCAAGGGTCAGGGGTGTGCAAGGGTGAGGGGTGAGGAGGTGGGAGGAGGCGGGGGCCCTGAGCTGGCTGGCGGGCATCACAACGCCCTGCAGTTGCTTCCCAGCCCCCTTGCTCCTGCCAGCTGCAGCCCGCTGACCTCTGATATCCCAGAGTGGTAACATCAAGGCAGCCTCTGGCCTGGAGCCCCCTGGCCGGGAGCCCCCTGGCTGGTCACACCCTCTGAATCCACAGAAGGTACCCAGGAACTTCTGTCTTTACCCCCAAAAGCTGCAACCCTGCCCCCACCCAAGTGGCTTCTAGTTGCCCTCACTCCCATCGGGTTTGCCATCCCCACCCCCCACTGGCGCCAGCATCTTGCCCAAACCGGATCCAGTACCCACACCCCCAAACCTCCACCACCTCCACATGGGTCCCAACGCCTTTCCCCTTCCTGGCCCCTATACCCCTCTGCAGACAGGGCCCCCACATCCTGCCCCCTGGCCTGCCTGCCCGTGCCCAGCCCCTGACTCACTTCCGAGGCATCCCTGGAGCCCCCCGCCCGCCTCCGGCTCCCACAGGATGTCTTTCTTCGCCACCAGGGTTTTCCTCCCCAGCCCCTCCCCCTCTCTGCACAGTCGGCCCCTTGCCCCTTCACTCCCTCTCCCCAAGCCCAGGCCATGCAGCCCCCAACCTGGTCTCCCCACCTTGCTGGAATCGGCCCAACCTAAGCCAGCGTGACCCATGTCCCCAGTCCCGACCCTGTCCCCGGGTCCTGCTCCTGCCCGCTCGCCTCCTGAGGCCTCAGTCTTGCCCTGTGGCCTCCGGGGGTAGCAGCCCCACGTTCCTGTCCCTGGGGTACCTCCCTATCCCCCCCTGCATCTTTGCTCTCGCTCCTGTGCACCCTCCACTCTGCCCGCTGGCTGGCACCTTCCGGGGTCACCTTCTTTCTGGCTCCCGGCCACCCCAGGCTGGGGCAGCCTGCCTACCCCCAGGCAGGGGCTCTGGGAGACGTGGGTCCTCACCTCCCCTAGGCACACTCACCCCGATCCTCCGTGCCCCGTGTCTGTGTCCTTGCTGCTCTCGTGTGCCCTGGCCACCGTGGCCAGCACTGCCGAGAGCTTGGATTTGGGGGGTGTTGCTTGGAGGAGGACAATTTCCTGTCAGGAAACCCCTCCCTCCGTGGGCCAGGGGCGGGAAGGGCGCATTATCTGTCTGCCCTTGCAGCGGGGCTGGGACGGACCTGGGCCTGCAGCCCAGCCCCGCCCACTCTTCACGCCTGTTGAGGTGCCAACACCATCCTGGGCACCCTGGGGAGATTCCCCGGCCCCTGCCCGTGCTGCACTCCAGCCCCCAGCGGCCAGCAGCCTTGGGGCTGGATCTGGTGTGTGGTCCTGGGAAGTCATCCCGCCGCCAGGGCTCTGTGCAAGTTGAAGGGGAAGGAGGGGTGGGATTGGACAAGAGAGTTCTCCAGCTTCAGAAGCTGGGACTGGGGGCCGCTAGGTGTGGCTCTGGGGCTGGAGCCCCCTTAAGCTCCTTCGACCTTTGCTCTCAGGCCCCTCTCTGTTCTCCCGAGAGGAACAGGTGCCTCTGCTCTTGTGCCCCAGTGTCGGTTCACCAAGCCGACCTTAAAAAAACAATGATATATTTGAAAAGCAGAGTGATGCGAGACTGACATCCTTTGCAGCAGCCTGGCCAAAGCCTGTAGCCCCACATGGGCATCCTTGCTGCCAGTGTGTCAGCAGGAAAGCGGCTGGTGAAATGAAGCGGCTCGGAAGGGGGGCAGCCAGGACCCTAACGGGCCCTCTGACACGGGTGGGGGTGGGGCACAGTGACTTAGCTCACAGCACCACTGCGCCCCTGGTGAATGGGGGGGTAGTGGGAGCAGGGTTCCCATCCTGCTTGGAGGGGCTGTCACCTACTGGCTTGGGCATAGCTAGGGTCAAGGGTCACACCTCCTCTCCCACCCCAGAGGCTGTAGGGGAAGTGGGTCAGGGGTTAAGATGCCAAGGACTGGGCCCGGCGTGGTGGCGCAGTGGTTAAGGTCCTCGCCTTGCACACCCGGGATTCCATATGGGCGCCAGTTCTAATCCCCGCAGCCCCGCTTCCCATCCAGCTCCCTGCCTGTGGCCTGGGAAAACAGTCGAGGACGGCCCAAAGCTTTGGGACCCTGCACCCGCGTGGGAGACCCGGAAGAGGCTCCTGGCTTCGGATTGGCATAGTATCGGCCGTTGCGCTCACTTGGGGAGTGAATCATCGGACGGAAGATCTTCCTCTCTGTCTCTCCTCCTCTCTGTATATCCGCCTTTCCAATAAAAATAAATAAATCTTTAAAAAAAAAAAAAAAGATGCCAAGGACTGCGGGTCTGAAGTTCCTGGACAATGGGCTGTGGAGGAGGGGCTGGGGACCACCAGGGATCTACCATGCCGCCTTCCCCAGTTTCTAACATGCTAAATGGTGCCCTCCAAACACCCTAAAATGGTAAGGGTTTGGGGGGAGCTCAGCATGGGGACCAGGTGGGGACCACCAGTACCACTAAGTCCAGGAGGGGGTTATCAGCCCTGGAGGAAATCCTTGAGCCATGGCAGGCTGGCCCCACACACCCTAGGCCCTGCAGCCACCTCGGCTGCCGGATTACATCCATGGACTTGTATAGTTAATGGTTGTTAGTAAATAAAACATACTTTCTACAAACAGAATTTTTTTTTTTAAGTTTTCAATTTATTTCAAAGGCACACAGGAATCTCTGATTCCGATATTTACTTCCCAGATATCTGTGCCAGCTGAACCCCAGGTCCCCAGGTGAGTGGCAGTGACGCAGCCATTCAAGCCATCACCTGCTGACACTCCAGGGCGCAGGGCCCCTTACCCAGGCTGGTGGATGAAGAACCAAGTGTCACAAGAGGGGCGTTCTTACCAGCTGCACCCCTTGCCCTCCCCCCCAAAAGTGTTTTTAAGACTCATCTACTTTGTGGTCTTCCCCTCTGTAAGCCTCAGTCCAGCGCCCCCACAGAAGATGGGACATAATGGGGTGGTTGGGGTGGGAACAGGGTCCCCAGGATGGGTGATGGTGGCAGTGCAGGGAACGGATCTGCTGCCCTCGTGTGGTGTGTGTGACTCCTGCGGCTCTGAGAACTCGGTCCCCTGTGTCCCTCCCCACCACCGGCTGCCTGTCATGTAGTCTGTCACCCAGAGGAGACCCTGAAGTTTCTGAAACTCCATCTTAAACTCACCTCTGCCCTCCAGGCCTGAGACTCCTCACGCTGGAGAATACAAAGATGGGGCAAGTTCCCACTTGACCCCTGGGACACACCGGGTTGCTCTCAAGGACCCGAGGGGACATTAGGGACACGTGGACAACGCCAACCCTGCCAGGCATGGCCAGGCAACCCAAGGAGGCCCCCACACGGGTCCATCAGCCATGGGCTGGCAGGCCAAACTTGCTCAGCAGGTGTCTAGGGCGGGCCGGGCAGACGTGGGAGGTTTCACCATTGCATCTGCCAGTTCCCACAGTATAAACTTCCGCCGGGCAATTGGCTTCAATTTCCCGAAGGGAGGTCACTGAGGGTTTGGGGGAAGCCATACATGGAAGCCCAGCATGGCAGAGCCCCTTGGCTGTGTGGAGAGTGGGCACCTCAGGCAGAGGCAGGCACACCTGCAGCACCAGCGTCCCATATGGGTGCTGGTTCAAGTCCCAGCTGCTCCACTTCCCATCCAGTTCCCTGCTTGAGGCTTGGGAAAGCAGTAGAGGACAGTCCAGTCTTGGGACCCTGGAATCATGTGGGAGACCTGGGAAAAGCTCCTGGCTTCTCACCAGCCCAGTTCTGGCTATTGTGGTCACTTTGGGAGTGAACTAGTGGAGGAAAGATCTTTGTGTCTCCCCTTCTCTTTGTAACTCTGCCTTTCCAATAAAAAGAAAAAGTCTTTAATCAGTAGTAGAAGAGTAACGTAGTTAAGACGGATGTAGCATTCGTGTTTTCCATATAATTTGCTCACACAGCTTAATTTTCTTCAAGAATGAAAGTGTTGAACAACCAACTCCAACATTCCTGCCACCGCTGGCACCTGCTCTCGCATTGCCCGCCCTGGGGGTCACACAGGCGGACAGAGCTGGGGGACAGCGGAGGAGACTCCGCCCGTGGTGCCCACCACTGGGGTGTGGCATCTTCCGGAGGGGGCGGGGAGAGGTGAGCCAGCCCCCCCCCAGCCCAGGCCCAAGCCCCCCACCACGCCCTTGGGCCCTTGTTCCTCTGTTGGGACAGCTTCCTGGGTGCTCTCCTCGGCCTGCTGCTGTGCGGCTTCCCTTGCGCCCCGCGCGCCCGGGTGCCGGTCGGCCTGGGTGTGCAGGCGGGTCTCGTCCTCCTCCTCCTCCTCCTCCTCCTTCTGGGGTGGGGTGGTCTCCCTCTTTGTGTCCTTGTCTTTGTGTCTCCCCGTCTCTGTCCGCCCCTCGGGGCTCCCCATCTCCACGAGCCCCTCTGCGTCGGGACCTCACCGGCGCGCCCGGACCTGCCTCCGCCCCCGGAGTCCCCGGGCCGGTCCGGGCCTGCGCCTTTAAGGGCCGGTGGCGGCGGCGGCGGCGGCGGGGGAGGGGTCCCGGGGCCCCGCCTTGCCGCCCCTCCCCCTGACGTCCCTTCCTCCCGGCCCCGCCGCCGCCCCGGCCGGCTCCGCGCCCCCTCCCCGCCCGCCGCCGCCGCCGCCGCCGCCGGCGCCCCCCATGGCGCCCCGGGCCCCCCAGGCGCCGGGCCACTAAGGATCCTCGGCAGCCGCCGCCGCGCCCTGGCCCCGTCGCGCGCGCGGCGCGCGGACCCCGGCGTCCACGGCGTCCGGCTTTTGAGCTCGCGTCCCCCCCTTTCCTAAGGCCGGCGTGGGGGGGGAGGGGGAGCCAGGGGACCCCGGGATCCCCGCCCCCCCCACCCGGCCGCCCCTGCCTGCCTCTCCCTCCCCCACCCGGGACCCGGAGGAGAAGATGTCTTCGCGGACGGCGCTGGCCCCGGGCAACGATCGGAACTCGGACACGGTGAGTGGGGAGGGTCCGGCCCCTTGGGGGGGACCCTGACTGCGCGAACCCCGACCCCCGTGACTGCCCCGGTCTCCTCCTCCGGGACCTCCAGGCCCAGGGGAGCCCGGCCTGACCTGCCCAGCGTGTTGGGGCGCCCCTCTCCAGGGACCCCCCTCTCTGGCCCCTCTGCTGACCGTTTCCGCTCGGGGTGCTACCCCGCAGGAAGCCCCCTCCCCCGGCCGGCCCGGAACCCCTCCCTCCTTCAGCAGCGTGCTCCCCACCGGCAAGCAGCTGGCCCCTTCTCCCCAGGCCCCTGACCCCCGGTGGCGCGGCCTGGCCCTGGGCTGCAGCCTTGGGCGCTGGCCTGCCCTGCTCTCGGTGCCCCCTATGCTGCGACCGCTGGACAGGCAGGCTGGAGAAGTGGTCTCCACCTTTCCGGGGCCCAGGGCCCTGGCTGGCTCCTTCAAGGTCTTCCTGCTGGCTCACAGGCCTGTGTCTGGGTTCCCAGCACCCCCCAGCACTGGGAGGGGGACCTCATAGATGTGTCAGGAGGACCCTCCCTCACTGGTCTCCTCCCTTCCAGCGCTTAAGACATTCTAGCTCTGGCGTCTAGGCCCTGGCCCAGCCTGACTGCCCGCCTCCTGGGCCAGGTCAGCTCCTGGTGAGAAGCCTGTCGCCAAGCCCCAGCCTCTTGTCGCCCTTTGGGCCTGGCCCCTGTCTTGGAGGCGCCCAACCCCCCTTCATGGCCCAGGGCCTATCCTGTCCTGCAGGGCATCCATGTACCCCAGGAAGCCCCCACCCCAGCTGCTCTACCAACCCCAGCTCTGAGGCCTGACTCCAGGCCCTGCTTCCAGAAAGCTCCTGGCCTTGAGCCCTCCAGTCCCCCCCTAGCCTTGGGGTCCCTCTGTCTGGAGCCTCCTCCACACTTGGGTGGCCTGGTGGGGGTGGCCCCAGGCCTGCTCCAGGGTAACTTGCTCCCCCAAGCTTCCCATGCCCCTCCCCAGTTTCTGGCTTCCTGACCCCCTTAGGGGCCTGGCCGGCCAGTCCTCCCCCACCAGGGTTTCTGCACCCCAGCTTCCCTCAGGAGTGCCTGCCTCTGCCTCTTAGGCTGCCCAGATTTACGCCTTGGGGGCATTGGAAGCCCTGGCTCCCTGCGTCCTGTGCTGGCTGTGCCCCCTGATGGGCACAGGGCCCTGACTGGCAGGGGGTAGGGGAACCCGCCTGAGGGCCTGGTGTGGGTGCAGCCTGGCCCCAGGGTGATCACACACGGTGAGTTGGGCTGACTGCTGTCTGCCCCTCTGCACGCGGGCTCAGCCTTGGCACCCTCCCCCCATGTTGGGTTTTGGGGAGCCAGAGCACACAGTTACGCAGGGCCAAGCCTCTAGGGTTCCACTGTTCTCCCCTTGATGATCTGGTGGACACAGGTTCGTGCTGAGCTCATGGCCCTCCTTGCCCCCACTCAGCCTCAGTTTTCCTCCCTGTAAAATGGGCCTCATCCCCAGACTCCCCCCTCCCATGGCTGCTGAGTCTCAGGCCAGGTCACTGAGGTTCACCTGCTGGGCAGACTGGCTCCCTCTGTCTCCCTGTAAGATCTGAGGTTGCATCCCGCTTCCCTGCTACCTGGTTACCATGGCAACAGCCGTGCTGGGGTCCTGCTCCCTACCTCAAGTCTCAGGTCCCCCACTAGGGGGCCACCCTCCCCAGGTTCCCTAGCAACTGGCTGCTGTGTCGGGGTGCCAGCCAGGCTGATGGCGGGGGACACGAGCTGGGCCAGCTGGCGATGCCTGTCAGTTTTTAGCTCCCACCCCCAGCCCCTGGGGGCTTTTTCACCCAGTATCCCAGATGCCCTGTGCAGGGTCCCCCCACCTGGCCTGCTGCCTTCAGAGGGGCCACCCTACACCTGTCAGCTCTTCTGATACCACGAGCCTTCTTCGTGCTTACGAATCAGGGGATTGAAGACCCCAGTCTCCACCCTTCCATCTCTCTCAGGAGGGGCCGGGGCTGAGGACAGCGCTGTGGCCATGGCCAGCAGACCTGGGGTTGACTCTCACATACCCTGCTCCAGCTGTACCCTGCCCCACCAGGGCCCGGGGTCCTGCCTGGAGAAAATGGGCCAGGGCAAGGGGTGGATGGCTGTGGCCGCCTGGCCCAGGAAAGGAGGTTGGCCTCCTCCACGCTTGGGTGTGACACGTGACCTTGAAAAGCTCTTTAGGGAGAAGCTTGTCTCCCGAGAACCTGGCCCCCCTAGTCTGTGAAATAGGGGTGACCAACGCACTCAGGTGCTGGTGGTTGAAGTGCTGTTCAGTGGCCGCTGGCCACCTGCTTTCTGTAGCTGCCTTTGTTTTCTGGCTCCTTACCTGGGCCCCGCCAAGGCCACCGGGTCTGAGGGAGCGCCACCCTGGCTGGGGCCTCTGGCCCCAAGTGGGAGGCCTGCTCCCTGGGGCCCACAGTGGGGACTGGACAGCGTGGAGCAGGCAGGTGACCAGTGGGGCGGAGGAGGCCGCAGCTGGAGGGATACAGCGCCAGGGACAGCCAGGCGCAGTGGCGTGGGCGGCAGCAGCAGCAGGTCAGGGCCCCAAGGGGAGGCCGCAGCGTCTCCTGTGGGAGGGAGGAGGCAGGGACTGGACCAGGGCTTGGGGCAGGATCGTGCAGGCAGCTTACTTACCAAAAACCCTGGGCAGCTCAGGGGGCGGGGAGGGGTGCTCTTGATCTGCCCCTTCCAGACCTGAAGTAACCAAGGCTGCCAGGCTGCTGGCAGGTGTCGGGGCAGTAAGGAGTAGAAGGTTTTGATTTTTACAAGATTCATTTGGTTGAAAAGCAGAGTTATAGAAAGAAGGGGCCAAGAGAGAGAGACACACACACAAGGAGATCTTCCATCTGCTGGTTCACTTCCCAAATAACTACAATAGCCAGAGCTGAGCCAATCCAGAGCCAGGAGCCAGGAGCTTCTTTAGGGTCTCCCACACAGGTGCAGGGTCCCAAGGCTTTGGGCCGTCCTCGACTGCTTTCCCAGGCCACAGGCAGGGAGCTGGATGGGAAATGGAACAGCTGGGACTCAAACTGGTACCCATTAGATGCCAGTGCTGCAAGCTGCGCCAAAGCAGCCAGCCCCGAGGAAAAAGCCTGTTGGCATTGGACTTGGAATGTGTTTTGGGGGCTGCAGTGGGGACCGCAGGGGGCTGCGGGAGGTTGCAGCTGCTGATGGTTGGGACAGGACATTGAGTGGGGACAGAGCCCTCATGGGTAAGCTTGAGGCTGCAGCTTCTAGAGCTGCCAGGAATACGAGGGGGCTGCCCTGGGGCTTCTGTCTGCAGAGAGAGATGCAGTGGCTGCAAGGGAGGCCCAGGTCGGGGGGTATCGGGCAGCACCAGGCTGGAGGACTCACTCTGTGTCTCCTCTGCCCAGCATGGCACGTTGGGCAGCGGCCGCTCCTCAGACAAAGGGCCATCGTGGTCCAGCCGCTCTCTGGGCGCCCGCTGCCGGAACTCCATCGCCTCCTGCCCTGAGGAACAGCCGCACGTGGGCAACTACCGGCTGCTCAGGACCATCGGCAAGGGCAACTTCGCCAAGGTCAAGCTGGCCCGGCATATCCTCACGGGCCGCGAGGTGAGCGTGGAGTCCCAGGGCAGGCCTGCCAGTACCACTCCCATCCCCACTCCAGGCCGGGGCGGCTGGCACAGATGTGTGTGGCATTTCTCAGGTGGCATGGGTAGACCTGGCCACCCCATGTGTGAATGGTGGGCTCTGGCACCTCGGAGCCTTTTAGAGACCTCAAGGATAGGACAGCCTCTCAGCTGGACGCTGACTGTGGCAGCATTAGTGCAAAAGGCGCGTTCACGCAGACCGCAATCCCCGAAGGCGGCAGGTGCCCTTGCCCCTCCCCCACCTCACCACCAGCTCTGGAGAAACTGCCGAGGGTCGGCTCTCTAGCCTTGGCTGGCCTCTCCGGGTGCCCTCGCACCATGCCCATCATACCCACCAAAGACCCCAGGCCCTGGCAGGTGCACAGGCAGATTCTGAGAAAGCACCTGATTGCATGGCAGTGCCCCACCCTGCCCCCCGACTCAGGATCGGGTTCGGGGACACCCTGGTCTGGCCTCGAGGGCAGCACCAGACAAAAAGCTGAAGCATCCGCTCGTCCACTGGGGACCCCAGCGTGTGGGACTACACTTCCGTGGTGGGTCCTAGCACGTGAGCACGGAGAGAGCTGGGGGCGCAGGAATAGCGAGTTCCCATCCCGCTGACAATGTATGCACGCGGCACGCCTCACACATCCCCAGAGAGGAACCGTATGATCGTCTCCACGCTGGCATGCCAAGTGTTTGGCACAAGTTTTTAAAGCACACATCCACAGGAATGCAGGCAGGGGGAGGGGAGCTCCCCCACAGGGAACGCATCGCCCTCTGCTGTAAGAGTGGCCCTACTGGGGGCGCAGAGAGCGCCAGGCTGGGCTCCCCACGCCTGCAGGGTTTCTCTGAAAGGTAGAGTTAGAAGAGACACACAGATCTTGCGTGTCCCTGTTCACTCCCCATGCGGCCGCAATGGCTGGAGCTGAGCTGATCCGAAGCCAGGAGCTTCCTCCGGGTCTCCCATGTGGGTGCTTGGGCCGTCCTCCATTACTTTCCACGGTACATTAAGAGAGCTGGATGGGAAGTGGAGCAGCCAGGACTCAAACCGACACTCATAAGGGATACCAGTGTCGCAAGCTGAGGCTTAACCAGCTATGCCACAGCACCGGTCCCATACTTTTCAACCCCCTGACTCCTGGAAAGCACCCGGCTCTCTGACCCGATGTCTAATTCTAAACAAGAACAAACATTCTGATTTCCTCTCGAACTGGCTGGCTCAAGGCCTGTTTCTCTCTTTGTAAAAATTACTTCTTTATTTTTATTGAAAGAGTGGCAGTGACAGAGGTCTTATAGCCAGTCCGTCACTCCCCGGAAGCCCACCGCAGCCCGGGCTGGGAGAGGGCAACGCAGCGGCTCCGAGCTGCATCCAGTCTCCCTCTGTGGAAGCAGGCACTTGGACCACCACTGTCTGCTGCCCCCAGGGTGCACATCAGCAGGGAGCTGGATCAGACACAGAGCAGCCAGGATTCGATCTGGCCACTCTGCTGTGGGACCCAGGCACCTCACGTGGTGACTTGGTTATTATAGCCCTTGCTCTTTGGGGGGAAAAAAAAAACCCACGTTAAATCCCTGTGCACAAAACTGCTTAGTGTTGGCCAAGTGACCGTGGAACTGCTCGCTCCTCAGCGTCCCCGCCTGCTGGGGTCATTGTGCGTGGGAAGTCCGTGGCCAGGGCCAGTCCCAGAGGTGGCTGCACCAGGGCAAGCCAGGAGCTCCGAGCTCCATCCTCGGCTCCCACAGGCTCTTTAGAGCGGAACAGAACCATGCCCAGGTGTTGATTCTCAAGGTCTTGGTCACCCTCACACACCCCATGCCCCCAACTCCTGGCCAGGGCCTCATACTGGGGAAGAGGGCACTCCCAGGGGCTCCCCTGAGAGGGGGGATGGAGAAAGGCCCCCACGTCATGAGCCCGCCTCACAGCCACGGGCCTGCGGGGCCTCAGCCTTACACCCCTCCACTCCACTCCTAGGTCGCCATCAAGATCATCGACAAAACCCAGCTGAACCCCAGCAGCCTTCAGAAGGTGAGGCAGGGAGAGGGGCCCAGGGTGGCCAGGCAGTGTCAGGGAGTGGGAGGTGGGTCTGGGATGGCCGTGGCAGCCGGCCCCGGCCTCACTCTCTCTGCCTTTCCTGCCACACCCAGCTGTTCCGTGAAGTCCGTATCATGAAGGGCCTGAACCACCCCAACATCGGTGAGGAGCGACGTGACAGCTGGGGGCTGGGCACTGCCTTCCAGGTCCCTGTGAGGCCTGGGTGAGGACGCACAGGTCTTGAGGGCTCGGTGCCTAGCTGAGCCGTCGGTGGCTTTACTGTCATTGTCACCAGGCAGGGGCTTTGGGGCTTAGGGGCTTTGTGGGGGAAGTGGGGTTTGGGATGGCGCACTCTTAGTCTTGCCAGTTGGGGCTGCACGGTGCTGCCTGGCACTGCGCCCCTGACCCTGTGGGCAGCTAAGCCGGGCCCAGCAGTTTGGGCAGTGACACAATCAGTAGGGAACCGTGGAGTATTCTTGAGCTGGGGTCCCCCCTCATCCGCGCCTGCCCCCCACCCTTGCAGTGAAGCTCTTCGAGGTGATCGAGACGGAGAAGACACTGTATTTGGTGATGGAATACGCAAGCGCAGGTGAGGCCCCGCCCCACCTGGGCCCCGCCCCACCTGGGCCCCGCCCCCACCGCCACCTGCCCTGCTCGCCCGGCCCCGCCCCCACATGCTTTGACCACCCAGCTCCATCCCACAGGAGAAGTGTTCGACTACCTCGTGTCCCACGGTCGCATGAAAGAGAAGGAGGCCCGAGCCAAGTTCAGACAGGTGTGGCACGGGGCTAAGGGTGGGGCTGGGGCCCTGGCTGTGGGAGAAAGTGTGGAGGCGGTGGGCCGGGCCCAGGTGTGTGTGCAGGCTGGTGGCGTGGGCAGCAGGCTGTGCCCAGTTACACAGGTGCAAGGCTGCCAGGCGTGCGTGACTGGCCGGCTGCCCTGGGTGGGAGGTGCTGCATGTCTGCAGGTGAGCCATGAACTCATGGGCACACCCAGGTGTGAGGGTGGGTGGGGACGGGGCCTGACGTCCAGGTTTCTCTGGCCCTGGTGCGGTTTCCAGGTGTCCCGGGGCACGTGTGTGTGTGTGTGGAGCGGGGGGTGTCCTACGGGCCTCTGGCTGTGGCTGAGCCAGGGTCCCCAGGGACTTGTTGGGGGTGCAGACTGTGAGGTGATCGACCCCCACCTTCCCCCCCAGATTGTCTCAGCTGTGCACTACTGTCACCAGAAAAACATCGTACACAGGGACCTGAAGGTAAGCCCTGCCAGCCCTTGGCCTGGCTGTCCCTCCCCAACCCTGAGCAGCCAACTTTCCCAGGCTACAGAACACAAGGGAAAGAAACAAAGTATCGTGGGCCAGCTGTGGGACAAGGACACAGGAGAGGATGGAGCTCTCAGACTCCAGAATGTTCTAGAATCCTTGTCGATGAGGGTTTTCCGGCCCGGCAGTCACATGGCCTGACGGACCTTAGAGCTGGAGGACGGCATGGAGGGGTGGGCAGCCGTGAAGGGGGCTTGGGCTGGGCAGCCTCCTTTGGGGCCCTGTGTTCCTGGGAGTCCCAGCTGCACATGGGCTGCTCCGAAGCACGTACCAGGCAGCCATTCATCAGGTCAGGCGCAGGAGCCTTGGGCTCCCATCAACCAGTCAGCCACCAGCTTGAGAGTACCTGCTCGGGGCTGGGCCTCACGCTGCAGGCTCTCATGGACTACTTAAAATGTAGGACCAGATTGGCTTATTGTATTTTTTTAAAGATTTATTCATTTTTGGGCCCGGCAGTGTGGCCTCATGGCTAAAGTCCTCACCTTGAACACAGGATCCCATGTGGGTGCCAGTTCTGGTCCCGGTGGCTCCACTTCCCATCCAGCTCCCTGCTTGTGGCCTGGGAAAGCAGTTGAGGATGGCCCAAGTGCTTGGGACCCTGCACCCATGTGGGAGACCTGGAAGAAGTTCCTGGCTCCTGGCTCCGGATCAGCGCAGCACCGGCCATTGCAGTCACTTGGGGAGTGAATCATCGGACAGAAGATCTTCCTCTCTGTCTCTCCTCCTCTCTGTATATCTGACTTTGCAATAAAAATGGATAAATCTTTAAAGAAAAAAAGATTTATTCATTTTTATCTGAGAGGCAGATTTACAAAGAGAAAGATTTTCCACTGGCTGGTTTATTCCCCAAGTAGGTGCGATAGTTGGAGCTGAGCCAATTTGAAGCCGCAAGCCTCTTCCGGGTCTCCCGAGCAGGTGCAGGGTCCCAAGGCTTTGGACCATCCCCCATTGCTTTCCCAGGCCACAAGCAGGGAGCTGGATGGGAAGTAGAGTGGCCAAGATACAAACCGGCGTCCTATGCAATGCTGGGCTTACATGTGGAGGATTAGTCTGTTGAGCTACCATGCCAGCCTGGCATTATTGTTTAAAATATAAAAACTTTGCACACCAGCGTTTGGCCTGGGGATTAAGGTGCAGCTCAAGGCATTGTGTACTCTGTCTACAGAGCCTGTGCTTCCCCCCCCGCCCGAGTCCTGCTGCCAGCCGGTACGCATGCTGGGAAGCAGCAGGGTGACCCTGGCGTGTGGGCTGCTGATGCCCACATAGGACACCCACGCGAGTACCTGGCTCCCAGCTGAAGTCTGGCTGAGGCCCCTCTGGTGTGGGCATTTGGGGAGCAAACCTTCCCCCCCACCCCCCCCGCTGGTCTTGCCTTCCAAATAGGTGGAAAAAACACCATTTTTTTAAACATTGAAACACTAATCCATTGTAGGCAGGCTGTTTTGCAAAAATCCCCTATTAAAATAAATTACAGGGAAAATGAAAGAAAATGTACAAAATGCAAGCCGCATTGTTTAAAATTATATCTTAAACCCCACTGTGCCCAGTTCCTGTAGCATTTCCCGGCCCTGCCGGGCTTTCCCCTGGGCAGGTGGGGGTGAGCCTGGAGAGTGGGCGCCCCCTGCTGGAGGGTCCTGGCTGTGGCTAAAGCGGCAGCAGGGCGGCGTCATTTCCCCCCTTGTGGGAGCGGCTTTAGGCTCAGGGTAGGGGCCTGGGCCAGGGCTGCTTTGTGGCTCTTTCACTCTTCGGGGGCAGAAGCAGGGCAGGCTGGACAGAAACGAGCCTGCTGGGGTGGCAAGGCTGTTCGGTCATGGCGTGGGGGAAAGGCGTGACGCAGTGACCTTCCAGAGGGCAGACTTAGCTTGTAGTTACAAATGGGCAGAGGTGGGCACTCCTGCCGCAGGGCTGGACACCTGCTCTGCTGCTTTCTTGCTGTGCACAGGAGGTGGCCTCTCCGTGCCTTGGTCTCCTTGCCTGGGCAGTGGCCCCACACCACGTGCTGGAGAAGGCCCAACACTCCATGCAGCGTTTGTTGGGAACTCTGTGTGCTGCATGGGGCCTTGCCGGCACGTGCAGGGAAACTGAAGCCCGCAGCTATGTGGCGGCTCACACAGGGCACATGCATTGAGTGGGTGCTTGGTGGTGGAATACACAAGGTGAGACCCCGGCCCACCAAGTGAAGCCAAGATGTTTCTAGATGTGTCCAAGTGACCGCATGACGTATATACATGTGACCCCATAGATGTGTGCCTCGACCCCATGGCGTGTGTACACATGACCCCACGTTAAGCTGCCACCCACACACAACAGACCACAGGCCCGGGTACTTGGGGCTGCAGGTGGGTGTGTTGCAGTCATTCTTTGCATTCCCAGGGGACCTGAGTGATCCTTCCTCTCCATTGATTACACTGAGGCGGCTCGGGGACAGGAGTGTGTCAAAGAGCGTGATCTTGGAACAGAAGCTCCCTGTAGGAACAGGGGTAGAACTGTCCCCACTCTATGGAGGAAGAGGAGGCTGGGGCCCAGAAACACGAGGTTGCTGCCCAAGATGCAGGGACGGAGCCCCGAGCCCCGGCAAGCTGCCCACCTGCCACTCTGACACAAGGACAGGACCCCGGAGTCCAGGCTGCCGCCCCACCAGACCCCCTCACCTGCCTTCCCTGCCTTTCCTGCCAGGCCGAGAACCTGCTGCTGGACGCCGAAGCCAACATCAAGATCGCAGACTTCGGCTTTAGCAATGAGTTCACGCTGGGCTCGAAGCTGGACACGTTCTGCGGGAGCCCTCCGTACGCTGCCCCGGAGCTGTTCCAGGGCAAGAAGTACGACGGGCCCGAGGTGGACATCTGGAGTCTGGGCGTCATCCTGTACACCCTCGTCAGCGGCTCCCTGCCCTTTGACGGGCACAACCTCAAGGTGCCAGGGGCGGGGCGGGGCGGGGGCATGGGCAGGCTGGTAGGCCTTTCCTGCTGAGGTTTAAGTCCAGGGAAAAGACCAGGAAGGGGCTGCACTTGCTGGCCGGGTCTGTGTCCCCCCACGGTGCGTGCTGTTGTCATGGTTGCAAGTGGACCGTGGAGGGTCAGGCACCGTGTGGTCCCCCCGATGTCCTCATGTGAGCTTGGCAGCTGTTTTTTGCTTCTAGTCAAGGGTCCCCTCAGGGTCCCAGCTGCCTCCTATGACAGGTACTTCACAGGCACCCCAGTCCCCAAGCCTTTGTGATGTTGGAGAAGGACCAGTGGGCCAGTGAGCACCATGTTGGCGGCCGCAGGAGGCACATAGCCAGGGGCTGGCTCCGCACTGGCCTGAGATGGAGTGACGTAGGAGTTGTCTTCTGATTCTGTTTCTCCCCCATGAGGTGGAGAGCTGCACAGCCGCCCCGAGCGAGCGGTGAGCTTTTCCGGCAGGGTGTGGTACCAGCCACCCAGAGGGGCGTGGTATAACACCCACATCCCACATGAGCGCTGGTTCAAGTCCCCGCTGCTTCACTTCCCATCCAGCTCCATGATAAAGCGCCTGGGAAAGCAGTGAAGGACGGCCCAAGGGCTTCGGCCTCTGCCACCCAGGAGGGAGACCCGGCTGGAGTTGTGGCCCCTGGCTTCAGCCTGGCCAGCCCAAGCCACCCCAGCGCTCTGTGCAGTTACTTGGCCAGTCAAAGATCAGTTTGTGCCCCTCTCTCTGTAACTCTGCCTTTCAAATACATTAATCTCTTTTTTAAAAAATATATTGGCTTGTGGCTCAAGGCCAGGGCCTCTGTGCCCTTGCCACAGCTTGGCGGGGCCACCGCAGGCTGTGGAGACGGCAGGGAGCCAGGGCAGGGCTCCAGGCCTGGGCCCCTCAGGAAGCTGGGAGCCCTGCCCTGCACTGGCCTTGAGACCCCAGATGCCACTGAGGGCCTCCCAGAGGCCCCGCCCACACACACCTGGGAAGCCTGCTGGGGCGGGGCCATGGCTCAGGCCCCGCCTCCAGCCACACAGCCCCCTGGCCGGGACCTCGCTTGTTGGGGGGGAGCGGGGACTTTGGTTTCCTCTCTGGAAAGCTTGCATCTGCACCCATGGCATGGCGCTGTGACAGTGGCTGTCTGTGTGAGACACGTGGGGGACTCTGCTTAGTCCAGGGAGGGTCAGCGCTCTTCCTGGAACCCCAAGATCCAGCCTCACCCCCCAGGAACTAGACGTCACTCACCCCTGGCACCTGATTTCCATCTCCCTTGGTTCTTTTTAATTTGGAAAAAATCTGCTGACTTCAGGGCAGATAGACGGACAAAGCGTCCATCCACCGTTTGCCCAGACACACACCACGGCCGGAGCTGGTCCTAGCACCAAGGCCAGGAGTTGGGGGCCAGGAGCTCAAGCCAGCCTCCAGGCCTCGGCTCTCAGAGCCTCGGAGCCACTGGCTTCCCAGCGCGGGCATCAGCTGGAGTCAGGAGCCGAGACCTCAGCCCAGGCCCTGGCAGACGGGGCCCAAGCCCCACCCCCCCCCAAGGCCACGGAGCAGGCCCTGGAGTGTTGTAGTTCACCTGGGGCAGCAGAGGTGCACCCCACCCAGAGCAGGTACCATACATCTTACAGATGCGCCCTCTGGGGGCACAGGTGCAGGCCTGCACAGAGGGACGTTCCAGTAGCCCCAGCTGACCCAGCACCCCCTTCGCCAGGCTCCTAGAATTTTATTTGTAAGATTCCCTGTGAGGGAAGAGTTAGCACAGCTTAAGAATAGCTTCTCTGGGGAAATCACCGTGGCTACATGATGCCCCGGGGGACCTCAGTTTAGACCCCGGACTTAGCACTTCTGCCCTTGGACGGACCAGGAGGAGTGAATGAGTGCAGAGGTGGGGGACGGGGTATCCAGCCCCACAGTGTGGGGAGTCGGGTAAGCTGGTCTCCACATGAGGAGTTGGTGGGGCGTCCCCCTCCCCCTCGGTGCAGCCTGCCAAGTGACTGGTCCCCGCAGGAGCTGCGGGAGCGCGTCCTGCGCGGGAAGTACCGCGTCCCATTCTACATGTCCACAGACTGTGAGAGCATCCTGCGCAGATTCCTGGTGCTGAACCCCGCCAAGCGCTGTACTCTCGAGGTGAGCCGCCCCCGGGCCCCCACACCAGTCATTAGCTAATGAGCCTGATTACAAGGTGCAGGCCCCAGATGGGGTGGGGGCGGAGGGCAGCAGCAGGAGATGGCAACTTCAGAGAGAGAGGGCCTCCTCGTCGGGGTGCCAGGCACCTGCTGGGGCGGTGGGGGGGGTGCATCTGAGGGCTCCCCGTTCCTCCTCTGACACTCACCTCCCCCCCCCCCCCCCGCAGCAAATCATGAAAGACAAATGGATCAACATCGGCTACGAGGGCGAAGAGCTGAAGCCGTACACGGAGCCCGAGGAGGACTTTACCGACACCAAGCGGATCGGTGAGGGTCCCGCACTCCCAGCCCACCTGTTCCCGGGGGCGGGGCGGTGCAGGGCGGTGAGCATGCTTCCTCTAGCGTCTGCCAGGCTGGCCCGGGGCTTCTTCCGGCTTCCTCTCCTGTAATATGTTCCTATAACAGGGACACCTGCTGGCGTGCCCCAGCCATTGGCATCTCCTTCCTCACCTCCCCAAAGGCCCCCTCCTCCCCACTTCTGTCCTCATGTCCCCAGCTGGGCACTCCAGGACACCTGCATTCTCCCCTTGTACATGGAGGCCGCCTGCCAGCACCAGTCAGCGCTGGGTCAGGAAGCCGAGGGTCCTCAGCAGGGTCAGGCTGAACCGGTATAGGAGGCACCTTGCAGATTGCAGATCAGCACAGAGCCGGCAGGTTCATCTGGCCTGACCTGCTGCTAACCATGTACTCATTCATATCAGTAGAAAAATCTCCAGGCACAACCGGATCCAGGTGCTCAGTAGTGGAGAATCTAGATTCTTCCCCCCAGGGCCCTCCTCACTAGGGGCAAAGCTGACCCGGACAGCCGGGCTCCCTGACAAGAAGGGGAGGGGCTTCCCTTGTAGAAGCCCTAGGCTGGCTGGTGGTCCCTGAATCTGTGCATTCTCATTGGCCATTGTTACGTCTTGTACCTGCTCTGAACCAATCAGAGTGACTCAGGGTGGGGGAGAGAACAGGTGCTGGCTGGTGCCTCCCACACTGGGGTGCACAGCTGGTGAAGGTGTGTGTGTGTGGGTGGGTGGAATATTCTAGGAGGGAAAGGTCATGGGTGCTGACTGGAGGGAGCAGGCAACACCCGGGGAGGCTGACCCTTGTCTCCGCCCCTCTGCCAGAGGTGATGGTGGGCATGGGTTACACCCGTGAGGAGATCCGAGAGGCCTTGACCAGCCAGAAGTACAACGAAGTGACGGCCACGTACCTCCTGCTGGGCAGGAAGACAGAGGTCAGAGGGGAGCGCCCCGCCAGCACGGGGGCCCTCAGGAGGCGGAGGGGACAGTAGCCTGATTTCTGCCCACCCCCATCTCCCTGCTGCAGGAGGGTGGGGACCGGGGCGCCCCAGGGCTGGCCCTGGCACGGGTGCGGGCGCCCAGCGACACCACCAACGGCTCAAGCTCCGCTAAGGGTGCCAGCCACAGCAAGGCCCAACGCAGCGCCTCGTCCACCTACCACCGCCAGCGCCGGCACAGCGACTTCTGTGAGTGGCTGCGGGAGGGACCCCCGGGGCCCAGGGTCAGCATCTGTACCCCCTCGGTACCAACCCTGCCAGGCAGCAGGTCATGCGCCAGGACTTAGGCTGCTGCCATCCATGTGGGAGACTCAGACAGAGCTCCTGGCTCCTGCCTGCAGTCTGGCCTGGACCTAGCTGCGGGTGGCATTTAGAGCATGACTGAGGGACTGGTTACTTGGCCGCCTGTCTGTTTTTCCCTTTCTATTCCTCCCCTCCTCTCTGCCTGTCAAGTAGATACATTTTTGCAAAATAGCCAAGAGAAAGACAGGGAGTGTGACATCCCCCAGTCCTGCTTCCTCTTGGCTCCTCTGGCTGTTCCTTGGCCCGTGACTTATCTCATGTTTTCTCGGAGCTCACCACTCCCAGGCGTCGGACAATGGCTTCAGAGAGCAGCACGGCAGATAGCCCGCCTCCTCGCCGCCTCTGTTGAGGCCTGCTGCACTGTTATCACAGTCTGGCTGGGATTAATCTGCCAGATCCGGGGCACAGGACACGTTGTACAAAGCGGCTGCTGAGAGCCTGCCCTCTGGCCCCTCCTCCACTCTACAGGGAGAGGAGGTGCTTCGTAAGGAAAGGAGGGAGGGCTCTCTGCACTCCGCATTCTGCAGCTGATAGCTGATCACTGCAGAGGGCGGACAGCCCCCCACTGCCACGAGAGCAGGCCTGAGGGGTCGCCCACCCACACCCTCCGCCAGTGTTAACACTACCCTCTAGCTTCATAAAATTTACACACCATACAACTTACCTGTTAAAAGTAAGCAACTCAAAATAAATAAAAATGTTTTGAAATTTTAAAAAGTAGGCAGATCAGAACCTTCCCATCTGCTGGTTCGCTCTCTGCGTGACCACAGTAGACAAGGGTGAGTCCAGCTGAGGCCAGGAGCCCAGAACTCAGTCCCACGTGGGTGGCAAAGACCCAAGCCATTGAGCTGTCACCTGCTCCCTTCCCGGAGCGTTAGCAGGAGCTGGACTCAGAAGTGGAGCTGAGGGAGCCGTGCCATGCAGAGTGGTTTACTCCTCTGCTTGCAGCGCCAGCATCCCACATGGGCGCTGGTTCCTGTCCCGGCTGCTCCACTTCGCATCCAACTCCCTGCTTACGGCCTGAGGATGCAGCAAAGAATAGCCCAAGTCTTTGGGACCCTGCACCCACATGAGAGACCCAGACCGGCTCCTGGCTTCATGCCGGCCCCACTCTGGCCTTTGTGGCCATTTGGGGAGTGAACTAGGGGATGGAAGGTCTCTTTCTCTGTTTTTTTTTTTTTTTCTCTCTCTCTTTGTAACTCTGACTTCCAAGTGAAATAAACAAAATCTTTAAAAAAAGAGAGAGCTGAGCCTTGAACCCAGGCCCGCCATGCCAAGCAGCACCTTAACCACTGCACCCACTCACACTCCCCCCGCGCTTTGCAAGCCAGACCTCGTGACATCCCCGTAATTTCTGGGGCACAGGATTAACCCCAGGGTGGGAGGGAGTGTCTGTCTCAACCTCAGTGATTCTAGAACTTGTTTTTCACTTCTAGAAATAGAGAGGGGGAGAGAGAAAGAGGGAGTTAAGAGAGGCCTCCTTGCAAATGCCCCTAGCTAGAGCAGAAGCAAAGAGCTGCAATGTTACAGGAGGGCCCACGTGACTCGGGTCGTCTGCTGCCTCCCCAGGCATGTTAGCAGGGGCTGGATCGGAAGCAAACCAGCAGGGGCTAGAACAGATACTCCTGTGGAATGCCCACATCACAGACAGGGGCTTAGGCGCTGTACCACGGTGGCAGCCCAGCCGTTCCCCTATTCAGGTGTTGAAGCAGACCCAGGAGATGCCATGTGTGCTGGGGGACAGGCCTGGGAGGTTCCCCGGGGATGGTTCTGGTTCCCAGTGCTGCCTGCTCTGATGGCTGCCTCCCTCCCTCCACAGGTGGCCCTTCCCCCGCCCCCCTGCACCCCAAACGCAGCCCCACCAGTACCGGGGAGACGGAGCTGAAAGAGGAACGGCTGCCAGGCCGCAAGGCGAGCTGCAGTGCCACAGGGAGTGGCAGTCGGGGGCTGCCGCCCTCCAGCCCCATGGTCAGCAGCGCCCACAACCCCAACAAGGCTGAGATCCCCGAGCGGCGGAAGGACAGCACGAGTGCCCCTGTGAGTGGGGGGCCGTGGGGGCCGGGGTGGGTCAGGGTAGGCTGGGGCGGGCCAGGGCTGTGTGACGTGGCTATCCGCCCTCGCGTGCAGCAAGCCCCGGCGAGCAGCCCCTCCCTGTGGTTGGTGTCAGGCAGGTGTAGAGCTGAGTACTGGGGCAGAGGGGGCTTCCTGCAGGACTCAGAGTTAGCCTGGGTTCAGCACCCAGAGTCTGCTGATGCCCTGGGGCATGACCTTGACGGTGCTGCAAACTCAGTAAGAAGGCGGGGAGCAGCTGTCATCCGTCTCCTCCCAAGGCCTCCTGGGTGCAAAGAGGAGCCACTTCTTACCCAGGACCCAGAGCTGCATAACATCCTGGGACAGGTGGCCTGGGCTCTCCAGGCCTTGACAGATGCAGGCTGGGCACACGGACCCACGCCAGGCTAGAGTGGCGCCCGGGATGCCAGAACTACACAGGCCAAGAAGCAGAGGGTGAGGACAGATAGGCCCTGGGCCTCAGCTCTGCGAGCAGCATCTGTGAAACGGCCTCATTCAAGAATCTCATGAGGGGGTCTGTTTATGAAAGATTCATTTATTGGAAAGAGCAACGGGAGAGGTTTTTTCTGCTGGTTCTCTCCCGACGTGGCCACAGAAGGGTTGGGCCAGGCCGAAGCCAGGAGCCAAGAACTCTGTCCGGGCGTCTCACCTGGGCCGTCTTCTGCTTCCCCGGGACATTAGCGGGAACTGGATTGAAGCGAAGCAGCCTGGACTCAAAGCGGCTGTCCGCTATGGGGTGCTGGCATCCCAGGGCCCTGTGTGCAGCCTTCCACCACTGGCACCTGGTGAGGCTGGGAAACTCAACCCAGACCAGGAAGGAAACAGCAAATTAGCCACCGAGTCAAAAGGAGGAAATAGTAGAGGAAAAAAAATAGCACCGTGGAAGAAAGCAGAGGAAAACTGGAGAACATGGGCGAAGCCGGAACTGGGTCCTTTGATAAGTTCTCGAAGGCCATGGCCCCTGAAAGACTGGCAGCGCATTGAAGCCAACGCCGAGGCACGCAGGCTCCAAAACCAGCAGGACAAGATGCCGATGAAAAAGACGCCAGGATAGTGTTTGGAGTGACTGTCCAGCAGCAAGCGTGGTGGCCCTGACAGATGCAGGCTGGGTGCACGGTGCCATGCCAGGCTAGGGCGGCGCCCGGGATGCCAGAACTACACAAGTCAAGAAGCAGAGGGTAAGGATGGACCCTGGACCTCAGCTCTCCAAGCAGCCAGATTGCCTGCAACGTGCGACCAGGCAGGCCTGACGCTGCAGGAAACAGGAAGCCCCACCTCACCCAGCACCACAGCCGTCATCCTTGGGGGTCCCAGGCCCACCATGTGCTCCTGGCAGCGTTGCTCCGAGCGTGTCAGCAGGGACCAGTTCCTGAAACAGACTCAGCAGGAGGCCACAGGAAGCTCATGCCTCAGCCCGGGCCAGGGTCGGGGTGCAGCAGGGAGAGTAGGTGGCTCAAGGCTGGAAGGGAAGTGTCAGGGCACCCACCGGGAGGTGCACATGGCACTCGCTGGGGGCTGGTGTGTACCTGAGCGCAGGCCCAAGGCCAGGGGCAGCCTTGGGTGACCCCCTACCCCCGTCGGAGTTCACCTGGTGCCTCTGCCCAGCCCCTGCTCCCTCCTGGCCCTGTGCGGTTCACTTACCCGGCAGGAGGAAGGGGAGCAGGGAGCTGCGGGTCCCGTGACCTCCTGCTCCCCCCATGGCCGTGTCTTCCACAGAACAACCTGCCTCCTAGCATCATGACCCGCAGGAACACCTACGTGTGCACCGAGCGTCCGGGGGCCGAGCGCCCGTCCCTGTCGGCAAACGGCAAAGAGAACAGGTCTGGCAGGACTGGGTGACGGGGCGGGCAGGGCAGGTGAGCGGGACACCCTCTCAGCAACATGTGCCCCCTGTGCCCAGACCCCAACCCGCCCCACGTGGTGGATGAATCGCTGTGCTCCCCCACCCCACCACAGGCTGGGACAGCCCCAGCGGGTTGATTGATTGATGCATTTTTTAAAAGCAGAGCGAAGCCCTGGAGGGCGGCAGGCAGCTCGGTGCCTATTGGGCTGCCTCCCCTGCCTGCCTGCGATGGTGCAGGCCCTGGAGCCAGCAGCCAGGGACACCGATTCCAACCCGGCTACAGTCCCGGGGTGGGCTTGGCATCGGGACAGTGGCCTGGACATGGGGGTATGCGCTGGCTTGCACCTGCTGAACACACAGGCAGGGGCCGTGAGCACAGCAGGGCAGAGCAGGCGTGACACAGGGACCTGTCACTTCTGTGTTCAGATCCTGGCCCCACGCCACGCTGGCCGGGTGATGGGCACCCCTGTGGGCCTCCATGTCCCGTCTGTAATGTGGAGCTGACGTCCCTGCCTCCAGGCAGGCGGGGCTGCTGCCCTAACCAGGTCAGCCCCAGCACAGGATCTGCCTCTCCACCAGAGGGGAGTTTGTTTCCTATTGGGTCCTAGAGCCCCGCGCAGTTACAGTTGAGAAAATGAGGCTCAGGGCAAGTAATGCCCAGGATCACAGAGCTGAGAAGGGTCCAGGGCGGAGGAACCAGAAGCTGTCTGTAGCCACTGTGGCCGGGGCCTTCCAGTTCTGGTCAGTGAGTCCTTCCAATTCTAAGGTAGCGGTTTAGTCCTCTTGGACAGAGCTGTCTGACCACAGGGTCCCCCAAGGGCTTGTCCATAGGGGGTCCCCAGGCCTCCCTGCTCCAGCAGTTGCAACCATTTTCCAACCAGCAAGAAGTGGACAAAGACCTGGAAGGCAAGCTGCCAGCCTTTTAAAGGCTTGACCCAGAAATGTACCCAGCACCTCTGCTCACGTCCCATTGGCTGGGGCAGTCATGTGACCACATCCAGTTGCAAGGAAGACTAGGAAATGTAGTCTCCAGCTGAGTTTTGCATTCCCAGGGGAGGGACTCAAGCAAGGGAGGCAGCGGCCATCTGCCACTGTCAGGGCTTGCTGGCTGAGACCCACGCTGGCCTGGGCACATAGAAAGTGGAAATCTGGTCCCTGCTCTCCACAGAGATCTCACTGCCCTTGCCGCATCTAAAGAAAATGAGAGGGAAGTTCCCTCACTCTTGACTTGCCCCTGCCAGGAAATGGTCCTGAATCCAAGTGCCCTTGACCTTGGCCTCTCTCCCTTGCGTGGACCCAGAAGAGCATTCAGATAACCCACCCGGGTCACATTGTTTGGTTCCTGAGGTACGAATGGCAGGTGACAAGCGAGTTGCCCCAACCGCCTGTGCAGAGGCGAGCTGGGAGAAACGACACCAGGCTTGTGCGGGGCACAGCCAGGCCGCCCCGGATGGCTGGAGGGTCTGGTCTCCACCAGGCCAGCACAGAGAAGGATCAAAGGGGTGAGGGGCCCAGGCTGACATGATGTGCCCCTCTTCCTGCAGCTCGGGCACCGCGCGGGCGCCACCTGCCTCCCCCTCCAGCCATAGCCTGGCACCCCCTGCCGGTGAGCGGAGCCGCCTAGCCCGTGGCTCCACCATCCGCAGTACCTTCCACGGTGGCCAGGTCCGGGACAGGCGTACGGGGAGCAGCAGTGGTGGAGGCATACAGAATGGACCCCCTGCCTCTCCCACGCTGGCCCACGAGGCTGCGCCCCTACCCGCCGGGCGGACCCGCCCAACCACCAACCTCTTCACCAAGCTGACCTCCAAACTGACCCGAAGGTGAGTCCCCAGGGACAGCTGGGGGGGGGGGCCGCAGGCTTAATCTGTCCTGTCTACTCTGCCTCCTATCCTCTGATGCGTCCCTCTCTTCCTCCTCCTGTCCTGTCACCCTGCGCCTGCCCCTTGCACTGCAGGGTAACCCTCGATCCCTCTAAACGGCAGAACTCTAACCGCTGCGTCTCGGGCGCCTCTCTGCCCCAGGGATCCAAGATCCGTAAGTGCCCTGGGCCCCTGCTGGTCTCCCAGCTGTGCCTGTGGGGAGGGGTGGCGTGGTTGGCACCAGGTAGCTGGCGTCCTCAGGTAGTGAACAGAAGCTGCCCAGGCGCCTTAGGCGGTCACTCGGTGACATGGGTGACATGGGGCTGGGCGACTGAGGTCCCAAGGGCTGGGCCCAGTGTGTCACTTTGGAAGGCACTTTCTAGCATGGGAAGGAACCTGTGTGTGGCTGTGACCCGAGAGGACCCACCGCCAGTGGGACCTTCAGACGGTCAGACAGGCACACGGGATGAGATGAGCAGCTCAGGGGAGGGGACAGCTTTGATGGGGCCAGCCTCAGCCAGGAGGTGTCTGAGTGTGAATCAGCCTGTGCATCTGTGTGTGTGTGTGTGTGTGTGTGTGTGTGTGTGTGTGTCCCACGACCTTTTCATCTTCCAGATTCTTCCTGTCCTCCACCCTGCACTAACCATTCCAGGGCCTGTGGGCGTGAGCGGGAGACAGGCTGGGGCGGTGGGGAGGGTCCCACCTCTGGTTAGACATGCTGCCCCCTTCGCTTCCCCAGGGTCACAGACGAACCTGAGAGAATCGGGGGACCTGAGGTCGCAAGGTGAGTGCGAGTCCGGCCCCACGGGCCTCCATGCCACCCCCCACCAGCAGCCGGGGCTCCTGCTCCTCAGAGTCCCCCAGAGCCCCCGCAGCCCCTCTAGTTGGCACTGGGTCCACAAGCCTCTTCCATGGCAGCCTTGGCCCAGGTGTGGGTTGTGCCCGTCCCGCCCAGCAGCGGGGAGTGCGGAGGCCAGAGACGCAGCCGACCCCCAGCTCCCCTGCTCAGCTCTGCTCTGTAGCCCAAAAGCCACTCACGGTTTCCAGTGCATAGACTACACGTGTGGCCGTGGTCCACTGTGATGGCCAAGCCCTGCCGGGCCAGAGACCTGAAAGAAACAACTTCCCTGGAATTCCCACAAAGTCCCAAGGCTGATTCATGGCTCGTACTAGGTCATGTGCCTGTCCCCGAGCCAATACCTGGGGCCAGAGAAGTACATGAGTCTTGATTGGCCAGAGTGGTCACATGCTCTTTTGTGGCCCAAGGTCATGGGCATGCACCCCGCTTCTGCTCAGGCCCAAGCTGGGGGAGAACATACCTGCCCCAGTTCCCTCCTGGGTCCCAATGCTCCCGTCTCTCACCTCCTCGTCTCCCCCTTCCCGCCGGCAGTCGCCATCTACCTTGGGATCAAGCGGAAACCGCCCCCCGGCTGCTCCGACTCCCCTGGAGTGTGAAGCTGACCAGCTCACGGCCGCCCGAGGCCTTGATGGCAGCGCTGCGCCAGGCCACGGCGGCCGCTCGCTGCCGCTGTCGCCAGCCCCAGCCCTTCCTGCTGGCCTGCCTGCACGGGGGTGCTGGCGGGCCCGAGCCCCTGTCCCACTTCGAAGTAGAGGTGTGCCAGCTGCCCCGGCCAGGCCTGCGGGGAGTGCTGTTCCGCCGCGTGGCGGGCACCGCCCTGGCCTTTCGCACGCTCGTCACCCGTATCTCCAACGACCTGGAGCTCTGAGCCGCCTCAGCCTGGGGTCCCCATCTTCCTGTGGTGCCCCCTTATCATCACCTCAGCTTTCCTGGGACAGATCTGGGGGCCAGGGTGGGGCCCCTCTGCTGTGAGGGACAAGGACCAGGGGTGCCAAGCAGAGCGGGCTGGTACCTCCCAGGCGTCTCCAGCTGGACCTGGACCCCCTGACTTTGGGGAAGACTTGGGGGGCAGGAAGGGAAACTGAGACACTTCCCTCCCAGCAGCTGGGGAGCAAGGCCTGGGGCCGGGGGCAGGACAAGCTGCTAAGACTAAAAACTGGAAGCCTCGGGTGGGGGAGAATCTGGGAGTGCGGTCAGGCAGCTCCTCCCCTCCCGCTCGGGCCCCCTCCTGCCCCAGGCTGGCGCGGGGCACTTTGTAGAAACCCTTGTAAATACCCCCGGTCCCTCCACAGACCACAGACGTCCTGAGGGGCCGTCGCTGTCGCCCCCCGCCCCGCCCCAGTTTTTAAGTTATTATCCCACCCTCTGTCAGCCTCTCACCTGCAGCCTGTCACCCAATAAACGTAGGCCAGTTCCCCGCCCCGTGCCACCCCTGGGGTCTTCCTTCCCCGCCTGCACCTGCCTCAGTTGTCCCATCTGCAGAGTGGAGGTGAGGGCGCGGGAAGGGAGCAGGTGACAGAGGAGAGGGCAGGACGGAACGCTGGCGCATCCGCCACTTACACACTGGACTCAGCCACTTCTGCCCCAGTAGCGCATTTACTCAATAAACACTCAATGACCAGTGCCGCCTCTGTGCCAGGCCCGGCGCCCAACACGGAGACTTGAGGCGTCCTTGGAGGCCCCCAGTGTGAGGACCTGGGTCTGACTGGGATGCTGGGGCAGGGAGAAAAGGCAGGGCTGGAGAAGGACCCAGTGCTAGGGCGGGCGTGGAAGGACATGTTGGGGTGGACTGGGCCCGGGAGCAGGAGTTTGTACAACAGCCTCAGAGCATCATGGGTGATACGGTGGGCATGGGAATTAATGGAGAAACGCATTCTAAAGACCCACCATCTGTGGGTGCTGCACCAGGAGTGTTGGTTTCAGGAGCTCCCGACACCTCCATCTGCCCAGCGTCTAACGGGCTGTTTCTAATGCAGGCAGGGCTGGGTGTGTCGCATGGTCGTCCTTGGCCCAATGCAGGGCTGGCGAGTGGCCGGGCTGCAACAGGAGCTGGACTTAGGTCCCCGGAGCAGAAAGAACTGGGAGCTGAGCGAGCAGGCAGTGGAGGTGTTGCTGTGGGGTGTCCAGGGCCAGCTTCTGAGGAGCCCTGGGGGCTCTGTGCCATGGGAGGGAGGGGTTACAGGGGTGGCCGTAACACCCCTGTCCTCCTGAGGGTCACGGTGAAGTGGGGGGTCGGCTCAGAGTGGACAGTGCCGGTATGCGGCGGGCTGGGTGGACATCCAGGACACGGAGCACGGAGGCCGTGCAGCGTGCGATGCCGGCAGGGTGGGGAGGGCCAGGAGGGGCCCTGTGCGGAGGACGGCAGGCACGGTGAGCTGAGCTGAGGGCGAGCTCCTCAGGCGGGCCTGGGGCTGTGGCCACTCCCGGGGCCTCGGGGTCTCCGCCATGGGAGCCATCTCCCTGAAACCCCTGTGTCCCGGGGCTTCCACTGTGTCCCATGTACTCTCGCCTCACTTTTCCTTCGACACCTTGGCCGCCCCCCTCCCTCGGTGCCGGGCGACCCTGACCCCCCCGGGGCCCCAGGGAGCTTCACTAAACTGCCCCCAGCGTGGCTTCGTGTCACACAAGGACAGCACGAGTCTGCGGAACGCAGACACTGGCCGCGACTTCCGCCACCCAGTCAGACCACACACTGGGCAGGGACCGCCGTCGCCACCGCTTTTATTCGCTGCCGCGCGTGTCGCTCGAGACACGTCAGCACACGCTGCGCGGGGGGGGGGGGAGAATGAGTGGGGCAGGAGGTGTGAAGAAGCTTTCTCATTGGCCAGGACTCAGGCAACGGAGCCCATTGGTTGGAACACAGAAGTGGGCGGGTCCGGGGTGTGGCTCCACCGAGAGGGGGCGGGGTTCGGGCGTGGCTCCGTCGAGAGGGGCGGGGCAGACAGCGTCGTGGGCGGGGCTCAGTTGAGAGAGGTGGGGTCTATGGACGGGGTCCGGGGCGGGGCGGACAGCGCTGCGGGCGTGGCTCCGGGTGGGCGTGGCTCCGGGCGCAGCTCCTACTTCTGCGCGGGGATCATGTCGTCGATGGACTGGCCCTTCTCCAGCTTCTTCTCCATCTCCACCATGAGCTTCACGCCGTCCACCACCAGCTGCACCTGCTCCACCTCGGACGAGCCCAGCCGGTCGGCGTTGGAAATGTCGAACACGGAGCCCACGGCGGCCGTGTCCACGCCCCCTGCGGGAGCAGGAGAGGGGACGGCGGGGTGAGGCGGCGGGGCCCCGGAGAGCGACCCTACAACCGGAGACCCCCTAGGGCGACCCCACAGCCGGGAGCTGACCGCCCCCACCCCATTTCCACATGGGGCGCCCGTGACCCCAAACCCCGCACCTGTGCCTCGCTTCTGCAGGCGCAGGCGCGTGAGGATCTCCTCGAACTTGGGGTGCTTGCTGAGATGCGCCAGCTTGACGTGCACGCCCCCGCGCAGCCCGGTGCCCAGGTTGGACGGACAGGTGAGCACGTAGCCCAGGTGCTCGTTCCACATGAAGGGGTGGCCGGCCTTCTTGAAGATCTCCTCAATCTGGGGTGGGGGCGAAGACCGAGGTCAGCGCCGGCGGACACCCCAGGAGCGGGCAGCACCCACGGGGCGGGGCGGGGCTGGAGTGGGCGGGGCCTTGTGGGTGGGGCTAGGGTGAGCAGGACACTGGAACCATGAGTGGGCGGGACCGGTGTGGGTGGAGCCAGGGCAGGCGGGGCTGGTGTGGGTGGAGCCGGGGTAGGCTGTGGGTGGAGCCAGAGCGGTGAGCAGGACATAGGGTGGAACCATAAGTGGGCGGGGTTTGTGTGGGTGGTGTCCGGGTGGGCGTGCGCATAGGGTGGAGCCAGCAAGGAAGTGGGTGGAGCTGGGATGGGCGGTGGGCGTAGCCATGGAAGGGGTGGGTAGAGCTGGGGGAAGTGGGCGGAGCTGGGGCGTGGAATGGTGCCAGGTGGGCGTGGCTGGAGCAGGAGGTAGGGTGGGCTTTGGGACGTGAGCGGGGCGATGTCTGGGCGGGGATTTCGGGGTGATGGGCGTGGCGTTTGGGGGCGGAGCCAGCCGTCAGCAGCCAAGGACTCAGTCCTACCTTCTGCAGCCCCACGCAGAAGCGGCGGAAAACCTCCTTCATGTTGCCCCCTTTCTCCATGGAGATGACCCGCAGGTGGTCCTCCTCGTTCACCCATACCAGGAAGCTCTTGTTGTCGTTGTGCCTAGGGTGGGGTGCAGCGAGAGGCCGAGGGGTGAACCTGGCATCCAGCCTGCATCCTGTGGTCTCCCCAAACCCCGCGGGTCCCCGCTAGGTGAGCGGTGCCCCCTCCTCAAAATGCAGAAACTGAAGCCCCGGGCCAGTGAAGCCTGGGCTCTGGGACTGTAATGTTCTGGATCTCACACCAGATGCATCGGGCGCGTCTGAGGGGCTCCCAGTGGGTGCATCTTGGCAGTGTCCCTTGCGTGATCCCTTAACATGCACCTGCGCGTCCCAGAACCGTAAACTTTCCGGCTGTTTTGAATTGTGGACTCACAAAAACCTAAGAATATTTAAATAGCGATATTTTAAATATTTAACATCTCCAAATCCCCCAGTCTGCACATCTCTGAACCCTAGGCTGTCTAAACCTTTTAAAACCCTTAATGATCTACAGCTTAGTGAGGTTGGATGAGGTAGAGAAAAATTAAATGGTTCACCCAGCTGGTACACAGTTGGCTGGTAAAGGACAGCGCTGGGATTTGAACCTGGGGAGTGAGGTTAAGTCTGAGTTCTCAACTCCATTGCTGCAGATCAACACTCCCCATGTATAGCACGCAGGTCACAGCCAGGCAAGGATGGAGTAGGGGGTGGGATCGATGTGTCAGATAGAGGCAGGGGGGCCTCACCAGATGCCACGGGCGTCGGGCCAGTCACGGGCCATGCCAGAGGCCAGCAGCAGTGGGGACACAGGTTTGTCAAACAGGAAGTGGTCGTCGATAAGCTGCTGCTGCTCCTGCTCCGTCATGCTCTTCAGGGGGTAGTACTTCCCCTTGAACTCGCCCGTCAGGCTGTTGAGGGCTAAGGGTGGGTGCCACACCCCAGGAGAGTGGTCAGCAGCCTGCCCCAGGCAGCTGTGAAGCCCATGCCGGTGCTCCCCACACCTACCCCAGGCATCTGCATCCTCCCCACATCCAAAGTCTGTCCATTGCCCTGGATGGGAACCCGCTGCCGCCTCTCCCACGGCTGCTAGGCTGCAGGTCGAGGTCTCGGGGACTGGGGAGCCATCACCAAGAATTATTCCGCAAGAGCCCAGATATTGCTTATGTATGTTCAAGTGTGTGAAACTGGAGGTCAGGTGTGTGAGGAATGCATGCATACACACAGAGACGATTCATCTACATTGAAATACTATGTACCCTGTGGTATACACTGCAGTATGACTTCATCTACCTTACTCAGCCTGGGAATCCCAGCCACCACCCCCTCAGGCCAGAACAACTAGTAATGTTAGGGGAATGGATGGATGGATAGGTGGGTGGATGGGTGGATGGGTGGATGGGTGGGTGGGTGGATGGGTGGATGGATGGATGGATGGATAGATGGGTGGGTGGGTGGATGGGTGGGTGGATGGATGGGTGGGTGGGTGGATGGATGGATGGGTGGGTGGATGGATGGATGGGTGGATGGGTGGATGAATAGGGTGTGTGGTCTGTATCAGCTCCTCAGACTTCAAACAAATGACACAGCTGTCACTCTTCTAATGCCCACAGGGTACAAGGTCTCAAGTGTTTGGGAAGAGGGTGGCCAGGAGGGCTGGGGTGTGCCCTGGAGTGCTGGGCTGTACTCTGGAACACTGGGATCGTGCCAGGGAGGCCTGGGACCATGCCCTGAAGGACTGGGTCGTGCCTTGGAGGACAGGGGCCACGTCCTGGAGGACTGGGACCATGCCCTGGAGGGCTGGGCCGTGCTCTGGAGCACTGGGACCATGCCAGGGAGGACTGGGGCCGTGCCTGGGCAGGGTTCGGGGGGAATTCTGGGACCGTGCCTTGGAGGACTAGGGACGTGCCCTGGAAGATTGCCATGCCCGAAGGGCTCTCACCTTCCACAGACAGCTTCTCCACTGCCCGGCGCTCACCGCGGGAGCAGTGTGGGGGCAGCGTGTAGCCCTTGATGCTGCGGCCGGTGCGCACACGGCTGCTGAGCACGTAGTTGGGGTCCAGGTCGTCCCCACCCTGCATGGCGAGCAGAGAGGGGCCATCAAGCTGGGTGGACCCTCCTGGGGCACCGTCCCAGCAAGTTCAGTAGCCCCCAGGACCCTTCCAGGCTCCTGGCCCCACTTCCTCTCTGTGGCTATCCCCATCTCCCCATCACTTTCACCCCATCTCTGTCTCCCCATGTCTTTCCACCTCTCTCTTCTCTCTCTCTCTCTCCTATTGAATCCTTCCTTTTCCTTTTTAGCTGTTTATTTTCATCTTCTTGAAAGAGCAGCAGAGAGAGATCTTCCTTCGCTGCTTTACTCCCCATTTACCTGCCAACAGCCAGGGCTGGGCCAGCCTGCAGCTGCAAGCCTGGCACTCCAGCTGGGTCTCCCTCATGGGTGGCACGGGGGGGCCAGAACTT